TTATGTTCTAGAAATTCTGTGCATAGGAATCAAAATGCCCCTAAATGGTTATGATCACTTCAATAGATGCAGAAGAATCATATGACAAAACTTAACATCACTTGATGATAAAAACTCTCAATATATTCAGTATTAAAGGAATACACTTCACTGTAATGAAGGGCTTATATGATAAGCCCACAGCTTATCATGAACTGAAAACTTTCTTCCCAGGATCAGGGAAAAGGCAATGATTCTCACTCTAGCAGCTTCTATTCAACATACTACCAGAATACCTAGATAGAGAAATCAGGCAATTAAAAACAAATAAAAGGCATCCAAATGGGAAAGGAAGAAGTAGAATTGGTTGTTTGCAGTTGACATGACTTTATATATAGAAATCCCCAAATACTCCACCAACACTATTAGAACTAACAAATGATTTCAATAAAGTAGCAAGATACAAAATCAACATACAAATCAGTTGGGTGTTTGTATGCTAACAATGAATTATCTGAAAAATGAATTAATAAAATAATCCCATTTATAATACCATCAAGATAATAATATATTTAGGAATAAATTTAACCAAGAAGGTAAAAGATTTGTACACTGAAAGCTATAAAACACTGATGAAAGAAAGTGAAAATGATGATAAATAAATGGAAATATATCCTCTGTTCTTGGATTGGAAGAATTAGTATTCTTAAAATATTCATACTGCTAAAAATGATCTATAGATTCAATACACTTCCTATCGATATTCCAATGGGCTTTTCACAGTAATAGAGGGAAAAATCTTAAAATCTACATAAAACCATAAAAGACCCAAAATAGTCAAAACAGTCTTCAAAAAGAAGAATGAAGCTGAAGGTATTATATTTCCTGATTTCAAAATATATTACAAAGCTATGGTAATCATAACAGTATGGTACCATCACAAACGCAAACATATAGACCAATAAAACAGAAAAGATAGCTAAGAAATAATTCTGTTTTTACAGCCAACTGGTCTTTGATAGGGTTGTCAGGAATACTCAGTGGGTAAAGGAAATTCTCTTCAATAACTGGTGCTAGCAAAATTAGATATCCACACATGAAATAATGAAACTGGACCCCTATCTCACACTATAAACAAAAATCAACTAAAATTTGATTGAAGACTTAAGTTTAAGATCTGAAACTATTGGGCTGGGGATGTGCCTCAAGCAGTAATGTGCTCACCTGGCATGTGCAGGGTGCTGGGTTCCATCCTCAGCACCACATAAAAATAAAATAAAGATGTTGTACCTACTGAAAACTGAAAAATAAATATTAAAAAATTCTCTCTCTCTCTTTTAAAAAAAGCTCTGAAACTATAAAATTACTAGAAGAAAACGTGAGAGGAAAACTTTATGACATTGGTCTGGGTAATGTTGGGAGTTTTTGCTTTTGTTTTTGGATATGTTCCAAGGCACAGGCAACAAGAACAAACATAAACAAATGCCATCACATTAAACTAAGAGGCTCTGCACAGCAAAGGAACAGCAGAGTGAAGAGACAATCTATAAACTGGAAGAAAATATTTGCTAACTATGTATCAATATCCAAAATACATAAAGAGCCGTGAGTGGTTGCATGTGCCTGTAATCCCAGTTACTCAGTAGACTGAGGCAGAAGGATCACAAGTTTAAAGTTAGCCTGGGAAATTTGGGAAAATCCTGTCTCAAAATAAAAAATAAAAATGGCTAGGGAAGCAGCTCAATATAGAGCATCCCTAGGTTCAATCCCCAGTATGTACCAAAATTTAAAATATATTATGTGTGTGTTTATAAACAGACATGTAACTAAATATATATACCTATATATATCAAGAAACAAATAACCTAATTTTAAAATAGTGAAAGGATCTGAATAGACATTTCTTGAAAGAAGACGGATGGCCAATAGGATATGACTCAACATCACTATCAGGGAAATGCAAATTAAAAACTCAATGAGATATCACCTCACACCTGTTAGAATGGCTATTACCCAAAAGAAAAAAGATAGCAAGTGTTGATGAGATATAGAGAAAAGGAATTTTTAAACACCTTTGGTAAGAACATAATTAGTCATAATGGAAAACAGTGTAGATGTTTCTTTAAAAGTTAAAATAGAACTTTCATATGATCCAACAATTTTACTTCTGGGTATATATTCAAAAGCAATGCAATCAGTACCTTGAAGAAGAGATATATGTATTCCCATGTTCTTTGCAACATAATTCAAAATAGCCAAGATATAGATCAACCTGTCTATCAACAGATGGATGGAAAAAGAATATGTGGTTTAATATAATACACACTCATGTACATACAAACACACTACATAATGGAATATCATTCATTCATCCTTAAAGAAGGAAACACTGACAATTGTGATAGCATGAATGAAACTGGTGGGCATTATGCTAAGTGAAATAAGCCAGCCACAGAAAGAATAGATACTGCATGATCTCATTTATATGTGAAATCTAAGAATGTTTAATTCATTGAAGTAGAATAGAATGGTGGTTGCCAGGGGCTGGAAGTTGGAGAAGTGGAGTAATGTTGATTTTTTTTAAAGGTACAACTTTTAAATTAGACAGGATAAAAAAAGATCTAGGAATCTAATGTACATCATGGTGATTACAGTTAATAATATCAGACTGTATACTTGAAATTTACTAAGAGAGTAGATCTTAAATGTTCTTAAAAATTTTTTTTAGTTGCAGAGGGACACACAATATCTTTGTTTATTAATTTATGTTTTATGTGGTGCTGAGGATCAAACGAGTGCCTCACACATGCTAGGCAAGTACTTTGCCACTGAGCTACAGCCCCAGCCCCTATCTTCAGTGTTCTTACCACACACATTATATACACACACACACACAAACACACACACACAAACACACACACACATACACATACACACACAGTACCTATGCAAGGTGATAGACATGTTAATTGGCTTGGTTTTGGTATTTCATTATGTGTACATATGTTGAAACATAAAATTTTTGATACATAAAATTTTTAAGAGTCAACTATATCTCAAGAAGTCTGGGGGAGAAAAGAATGTAGTATGTGTTGTGTTCTAGAGTCAACTAAAAAGTTTCTTTTTCTTCCCTGTGTATTGTTACATCACCAACTTGATATATAGTGAGGTTTTCATTTCAGTTTGTTTTCAGGTTTTTAGGGAGCAATTTCTTTTCAAATATTTTATGTAAGTAATATTGTTGAAACATTTAAGGGCTTGGAATGTAGCTCAGTGGTAGACAGTTTGCCTAGCATGCATGAGACCCTGGGTTCAATTCCCAGCACCACAAAAAATAATAAGTGAATATTTTAAAACACTTTATAATTACTAAAGTATAAGTTATGTAATAAGATGTATTGGGGATGTCTAATTCCCATCTCTCTTCCTTCCTCACATTCTCTTCTTTTACCTTTTCATTAAATTTGCTTCGTGTTTTCAGTTTTTTCTCTCAAATATAAGAAAATTCATTTTTATATTGTATGTTCTCCATTCCTTATAAAAGGTTATATTATATACATTGTGTTGTGCCTTGCTTTCATTTCTACTTAACACTACATATTTGGTTTCACTCTATAGAAATAATTGGTCATTTTCTTTACCCCTTTTACAGCTGCATAGGACTCCATTTTGCTTATAGCATTCAAAGTTCAGTCAGTTTTCAACTGATAGAAATTGGAATTATGTGGCTATTTTTCTATTAAAATAACAATATAATATGCTACCATGTTATTTTCTATTTTGCCAGTAACTTATTGAAATTCAAAGATGAATGTATATTCTATTTTTCTTGCATTTGCATCAATGATGATGATGGGGTTAGGATTCTCTTATGTAAAATGGGAGAGAGATTTTCCCAGATTATGCTCTAGCCTTAGCTCTCAAACCTCTTTCTTTGGGGTTTTGTTTTGTTCCAGATAACAGGACTCAGCTAACTTCCATATCCTAAAACATTTCTCATAAATATTTTAAAAATTAGTTTCTGAATTCCATGACGAATAAATAATAAATAAACATGAAAGATCATGTTTATGACGTTTCACAACTTGAATTGGCAGAAAAATCTAGGAACCCATGTCAGTTTGTACTCTTGTTTGTTTTTTAAAATTTTTTCTTGTAAAACTTAGTTTTGTCATATAATGTACTCTTGTTTGTTTTTTAAAATTTTTTCTTGTAAAACTTAGTTTTGTCATATAATGATATCTTACCTATGTTCCCTCACAAATAAAATATCTATGGATTTATTCATTTACTATTGCTTTTTTAATGATTATATATATCCCTACCTACTTGATAGGTAATATTGGCTATAGTTTTTATAAACAATAACTTCAGTTTTAATGTTTAGTTTGTTATACACAGTTCTCTCAATTTTTAAATAAATCCTCTTTAATAATAATAATCAATTCTCAGAAATGTATTTCTCTTCCACAACTGTGGAATACATTTTATTTTTTGATGGAAAGAATTTTAAATTTTTAACATTTTGATCCAAATATAGTTTATTATAATTTGTAATATGAAATGTGGACCCAAATTTATTATTCACCATACAAACATCCTATAGGATCAACATTATTTAATAATAGTGTTTCCTTTGATATTTCCTTCTGCTTATTTGGTAAGTACTTAAAAATTAGATTTAAGAACTCATAAAAGTAACTTTGCATTTTACAGAGAATTTCATGCAGTTTTAATTTTTTACAGATTTTTTAAATCTTCAACACAGTGAGACAATTTTCAAGGTAATGACTTTCAGCTTTGTTTATTCCAAAAGTTCAGATGCCCTTGGAATTTTTTACTGACACCATACCAAAAGTTTAAAAGTAGTATCAAAGTATTCTTTAGTTGTTTTGTTAGGTGCAAATCTCTATAAGTAAAGTTTTTCTTGACTTTTGAGCATGGTTTTACTGGAACATATACTAAGAAGAAGACATTGCAGGTATTCTTGGACCTTCCCATTCAAAATAAGACATATTTTCTCATATTCTTTTAGATGAAATGGCCTTCCTTAAAAACTTCCTCATAGCTTCTATAACTTCTTTGTTCCTCAGAGTGTAGATGAATGGATTGGCCATCGGAGTAATAACACAGTAAAACAGAGTCAAGACTTTGATAAGGTCTTGAGAACCATCCCCTGAGGGCTGCATATAGATGTAGATCCCAGGCCCATAAAATAAAGACACCACCAATAAGTGTGAGGAGCAAGTGTTGAAAGCTTTAAGTCTCCCAGAAGTGGAAGGGATTCGAAATACAGCTCTGGCGATGTAAGTATAAGAGATAAGAATCATGGAGAGGGGACCCATTATCAGGAGGGTTGCCACTACTGCTAAAATAATCTCATTGATTATGGTGTCCCCACAAGCCATCTTAATAAGACCAGGCAGCTCACAAAAAAAGTGGTCCAGTGCCTGGTTCCCACACAGGGGCAGCTGGAGTGTAAGTGTGGACTGCAGCAGTGAATTAGCCAGACCAGTGAGCCAAGCAGTGCTGGACAGCTGTAGGCAGAGCTTATGATCCATGATTACAGAGTACCTCAGAGGCTTACACACGGCCACATAGCGATCTAAGGCCATGATACCTAGCAAGATACATTCCGTACAGCCTAGCCAATGAAATATATAGGCCTGGGCCATGCAGCCTATATAAGTGATGTTCTTGTTGGGCCCCCCTAAGTTGAACAGCATTTGAGGTACAGTTGTTGTGGTAAAACAGAGATCCAGAAAGGAAAGATTGGTAAGGAAGAAATACATGGGATTTTGGAGTTGGGAGTCTAGTTGAGAGACCAGAATAATAGCAATGTTTCCCAACAATGTGAACATATAAGACACCAGGAGGACAAAGAAGAGAGGAAAATCCAGCCATGGATATTTGGTAAGGCCCATAAGAATAAAATCCACTGGAAAACTTTCTTTCATATGCTTCATTGAATTTTGAAAGAAGAGACCTGCTAGAATCAAGAAAGAAAAGGGTGATATTAAAAATTCTGAGTTGGAAAAAGTTCTGTAAACACTAGGAAAAATATATGTCATGGGGGAGAGATGGTATGTAGAAATCACAAAAATAATATTGAGTAGAATAGTTATTATAATTAGCATTGTAAATAAATATTTGGGAAGTTTTTTCAATACAGAAATTGTTTCACTTTTTTTTTTCTAAATCAAAGCTCTATGCAATAGATTAGTGGATACTAGTTGTCATGTCTTTTCTTTTTGACAAAACAAGCCAGTGGAAGGTGGCCAGTGTATTATTCTCCAGACAGTTAAGTTTAGTTAATTAGATGCTCCTATCCAGGATTAGAACCTAGTGAAATCATGTAGAGGAATGAAGAGAGCGAAAGGGCCTGTCATAAAATCAGAGCAGCTAAATTTCTAATAATGGTTCATGATGACAATACCAAAGGATGTGTCCTACACAGTCCCTTCCTAGGGTAGGAGCTTGTCTGTGTCTTGCTTCTCTTTATTTCTAAATTTTTTTTACCAAATTTTGTTCTTCATTCTTCCCATTGATTCTGTGAACTACCATTCTTCTGATATTTTATTTCTGCTTATGTTATTAGTATTACATTCCTCATTGCCAACAAGACAAATACAGAAAGTGGTACAAGAAAGTGAGTTGAAATATTCTCCAGGTGTCTTGTGAGTCAGGGAACTGACGAAGATAGAATAGGACTCTAAGAATTAGAATGAGAATCTATAGGGCATCCAGAGTATTCAAGATAACCCACCCTCCGCCTTCCCCTTGTAGCCAAGGCAGTCTTCCTTTGATCTGATAAGGTCATTTTGCTTAAAATTCTATACCTCTCAAGAAAATAAAAAGAGAAGCCACATACTTGGAAAATAATATCTGCAAAAGACATATCAGATAAAAACTGTTACAAACATACAAAGAATTCTGAAAACTCAAAATAACAAAATAGACAGCCTGATTTTAAAAACGGGCCAAAGACTTTTATAGACACTTCACCAAAGCAATACAGATGGCAGATAAGCATATGAAAAGATACTGTACATCATATGTCATCAGAGAAATGTAAATTAAAACAGAAATGAGATACCAGTTCAACTTATTGAAATGATCAAAATTCAGTATGCTGACACCATCAAATGCTGGTGCAGATGTGAAGCAACAGGAATGCCCATTCATTGCTGGTGGGGATGCACAATGGCACAGTCACTTACAAGATAGTTTGGCAATTTCTTACAAAACTAAACATAATTTTACCATATGATCCAGCAGTTGCTTGATTTTATCCAAAGTTGAAAAGTTATGTTCATACAAAAACTAGCACACAGATATTTACAGCTGCTTTATTCATACTTGACATAACATGAAAATAACTCAGATGTTCTTCAGTGGGTGAGTGGATAAAAAACTATCATCTATCCAGACAATAAAATATTAAAATTCAGCACTAAAATTAATATACTATATGAAAAGACATGAAGGAAACTTAAATGCATATTAGTGAGAGAAACCAATCTGAAAAGGCTACATATGGTATGATTCCAACTATATGACATTCTGTAAAGGACAAAACTATGGAGAAGTAAATTATTCAGTGGATGAATAATTGGAGCACAGGGAATTTTTAGGCAGGGAAGCTAATCTATATAATTCTATAATGGTAGATACATGTTATTATAAATTTTTTCAAACCCACAGAATGTACAACACCAAAAGCAAACCCCAATGTAAACTATGGACTTTGGGTAATGATGATGAATCCATGTTGTTTCATCAGTTGTAATAAATGCACCACTCTGAAAGGGGATGTTGATAATGGGGAAGTCTATACATGTGTAGGGGCAGGAGGACTATGGGAAATCTCTACCTTTTGCTCAAACCTAAAATTCCTCTAAAAAATAAAGTCTGGAAGAAAAAAGGTTATTCTTACTTACTGAGAGGAATATAGGCTAAAAAGAAGCCAGTTCTCCTCAAAACCCCCTCCATAGTAAACAAGGTTAAAACCCTCCAAGTAAACAAGATTAAGTTCTAGCAGGCATTGTCAAGGTCAATTAGAAGACAATCTGAGAAAATAATACATTTTTTTAAATTGCAGGATTTTACTAGCTTAAAGCAGAGATTTGAAGACTTCGTATATGGCAATGAATTCTGAGATTGTCTAACCAAAGAAATTAGATACAAATTTATCATAACCAGAGATACCTGTTTTTATTTACTGACTGAATCTATGAAGTAGTTTCAATTGATTTTTTTCTGTTAGATGACTAAAATATGGTCTTAAAGTATGTTTATTTGCCAGAACTCCTTTAGTGTATGATAAAGTTATTGGTAATATTTATGTTAAATCAATTAATGTGAGCAGACTGTGATGACAAGATTATCATTATATCAACCCCAAGAAACTCTTCTGACTGATTTTACTCATATTTGCTTGTTATTTTTTTAATTTTTGGGCACCTATAAACAAATCCATCTACACTTCATTATTTCATTTCACTCTTCTATATTTTGCCTTTAAGCACATATTTAAGCTATTTCATCTTCATTTTATAATTGTTTAGTTAAAATTCAAAATATGTATTCATCTCTCTTATTTTCATAGATTTTGATTCTGTAAGCCTTTGCTGGACCCAGGAATTGACATTTCCAGCCAGTATTTCAGATGATTCAAATAACCTTTGGATCACACTTTAAGAAATATTTATGCCTTAGGAAATAATTTATTCAATAAGAATACTTTAATACCTATTATGTATTAGTGACTATTCTAGGTGCTGGAGATATTTGCTCTACATCTCCTGTACCTCCCACCTAGAAAAAATTATTTTTTGAGCACTTCATTTCTGAAGAACAAGGTAATAACTACAAGAAATGACACAAAAGACATAAGATGCATGAAAATTAACATATCAATAATTACCAAAACATAACTGTAGTCTTAAGTTCAAAGAATATATTGGTTAACTATCCAGTTATTTGTTTTTATATTCACTCATTAAATTAATGTTACTTATATGTCTACCCACTTTAGTGCACTGTGTTAAGCACCATAGGACAAGAAAATCAGACAGACCCATCATCTGTTCCAAGAAAACTCTACACGAGGACCTCTCTTCATGTACTAAATATCTAATAATAATTTTAAATGTGCTAAATGTGTGGTGCAGTAGCATACATCTGTAATCTCAGCCACTTGAGAGGCCAAAGCAAGAGGATTGCTAGTTTGAGGCTAGACTCGGCAATTTAGTGAGAACCTAAGCAACTTAGCAAAACCCTGTCTCAAAATAAAAATTTAAAAGGGATGAGGATATAGTTCAGCGTTAAAGCCCCTCTGGGTCCAATCCCTAGTTGTTGTTGTTTTTAAAGAATGTGCTAAATTTCATCCTAGATGTACAGAAGTAAAAGATAAAGAGTATTTGGAGATGCAAGAAGTTACCTGTAGGTAAAGATCTAGAAAGTGGTGGAATCATGAAAATAAGATCTTGAGAATTGGACCTGGATTTCAGGTAAATATAGCCTATGAATTTGTCTCCACCTATTAAAATGTCACTAAAAGGGTAGAATAGGTACAACTCATAAAGAAAAAGAGAATGAGAAAGAAGATAACAAGAAAAGGGGTGAGGGGAAGCATTGCAATTCAGAGAGATACCAAGCAAACCTGGAAGGACAAAGGAATCAGAGGACCCAGACCCCCGAAAGTGATGGGTGTGATATGGAATTGAAAACAAGAAGATTGTCTGAGAGACTGTATTAAAAACAGAGCTCCGGACACCCAAATTTTTTCACACTACCAGGTAACTCTGCTTCTCCCCTACCCTGGAAGAAGTCTGAACTAAAGGCACTCTGGACTTGGGGACACCAGGCAAACCTAAGGACAAGAGTAAAAGAAAACAATGAAATTGGAACTATTAAGTGGCAGTTTGCTTATCAATTTCTGAGACACTCAATTCTCAAGCCCTCTCAATTATCATTACATTGATAGTCATGCCTACACAAGCTACACAATATTTTGGAGGACTTGTCATTTGAGAAACAGTGCTTGAAATGACCTATAATTTCAAATAAAGATTTTTAAATGAAAAGCTGCATCCATACTTAATAACCCTACAGTGAAAACCATCCACCACCAGGCTCTATATATTTATCTGTTAGCTAATAATTAGCATTTTATTTTATTTTTTAAGTGTTTTTTAAATTTTCAATGGACTTTTATTTTGTTTATTAATCTATTTATATGTGGTGCTGAGAATCGAACCCCAGTGCCTCACACATGCTAGGCAAGTGCTCTACCACTGAGCCACAAACCCAACCCTAATAATTAGCATTTTAGTGTCTCACTTTGAAATATGAACAGGTCAGAACAACCAAATATCTGAGGAAAGCTTCTAATTAAAAAGACAAAAACAGGGACTGGGGTTGTGGCTCAGCGGTAGAGCACTCACCTAGCATGTGTGAGATGCTGGGTTTGATCATCAGCACCACATAAAAAAAAATAAATAAAATAAAGGTGTTATGTCCAACTACAACTAAAAAAATATTTTAAAAAAAAACAGCTGGTTGCAGTGACACACACCTGTAATCCCAGTGGCTCAGGAGGCTGAGGCAGGAGGAGTGCAAGTTCAAAACCAGCCACAGCAACAGCAAGGTCCTAAGCAACACAGTGACACCCTGTCTCTAAATAAAATACAACATAGGGCTGGGATGTGGCTCAGTGGTTGAGTGCCCCTGAGTTCCATTCCCAGTATACCTCCCCACCCCACCAAAAAAACACATGGTTAAAAAAATAATTCAAATATAACAGAGACCCTTGTAGAAAGGAGAGGACATCTGAGGACACTGCAACAATGAAACATGAATAAAATCTCTAGAAATGTGAGTGCTATTTATAAAATATGAAATCATAGTTTAAAGTAAGAATATTTTATAAATAAAATGACTGAAAATTTAGCTAAAACATTAAGGGATCAAACCAAGAGATGGGTC